ACTTGTAGGCTATATTTATGACGGCAAGCCTGCCAAGTTTCACAACATTTCACCAATCCACTGATGTTTGGGACTTTCTTAAATTTTAATCATAACATTTTAAAAAACACACAATAGGGGGTTCTGGGAATTGAAGTCCCAACCGATGTGCACCACAAGGTGGGAGGAGAATGAACACAGTCAACCAGTCAAACTGTCTTATTTTCTTTCTGGGGAGAATCAACATTTAATCTGCCACATAGCCAGATTCATCATAAAAGCCACCCACCTGAGAGATCTCTTTATCTCACAAAATAGGGTCCTTGTCATGGTGATGAATTTATCTAAATTCTCCATCTGCATCTTTTACTCTCCCTGCTTTCATTTTATAATTTAATCTCATTTTACCAAATTCATTGTTTAATCAAGTTTTATCATGTTTTAATTTATTTTACTTAACGAATACAGGAGCTTTAGGGTAGTGATAAGTGTCTATTGGTCTGTGTATTTTTTTTGTCTTTTATTGTTGCTATAATCAGTGGACTAATCAACAACAGATCTATCTATTTAGCTAGCTAGCTAGCTAGATATAAGAGGAACAACTTTTTTTCCTATGGGGAAAAACAGTATTTCTACAGATAAATATTATTTTCCAGGGAGGAAATTCTCCTTGCTGTATGAAAAATGTGAATTTTGTACAGAACATGGTTTACAAACATTATCTATAATTATCTGAAAAAATGCCTCCTTGAATTTTTTTTATTTGCAATGCAAAGAATACTGTTTTTTGCATACACACACACACACACACACACACACCATGTTAAAATTTGTGTGGATTAATTCCTGCACTCTGAGTAGTCTGAAAAGGGCACAGTGTCTGAATGGATACTAATGGGATTCTCCTTCCAAACGTTTTTTTTATTGCTGGGTTGGGAAAATATTTAGATTAAGAAAGAAATCAGAAGGTCTCAGTCTCACCTACCCATGTTCATTGGTGACATTCCATATGAGATCTTCATATGAAACAAAAACAGAAAAGGGGTATTTAGTTTGAGATCTAGAGCTTGGACTCTGAGAGTGGAAGACTTGAATGCTCAATCAGTCTTTTTTTTTAAATTAAAATAACAACAGTGGGTGACTCTATCTCTAAGACCAAGAGGAAGGCAATGACAAACCTTCTTTGAATAAATCTTTCTAAGAAAACCACATGAGAGGATTGATTGAAAGCACATCATAACAACATGCCCAGAATTGAGTTTTTGATATTCCAAGAATGAGCTAAGAGACAAGAAAATGTGCTGTTCCAATTAACATAAAAACTATTCTGCCAGAAGCACTGTTCTAAAAATGCCTTTTAAAAAGCACAAAGATTCCAGACAATCAATCAATGGTCTTTATAACATGGGGTTGTTTTATGGCGATCATATAATTTTGAATACAAACAGAAACATACTGCTACTGAGACACTGACTTTCACACTATGGCTTCATTATAACTCTGGTGCTGTTATTCCTACTACCAATGTTCCACATGATATTTCTGGCCCTGCCCTCTTTTTCATCCAGTGCATGCATACTTTTATAATATTTTTTTCACCATAACTGGGTGTTGGGAGAGGAAAATTACAGCCAGTGGATACTTGGAATATTGTGGATGCAGAAAGAAAAGTTATTTCACATAAGGCCAATAGCTTTTTGACAGCAATATTGGGTTATGAACATTTTTTCACTATGAATATGGGAAAGTGCTATATTAACAAACTCAAAGACACTTTGGGAGGGCACCAACACTGTATGTTATGTCTCTCTGCCACTCACAATAATTGTGCTATAATTGTAATTGGAAACATTCCCATAATTCATATTGGATATAGACTTCATATCCAAAAGCCTAATATATATAAGTCAAATCCTAATAGTGGCAAAGTATCCAGTAATAATAATTGTGATTCCATTCAGGTTAGTGGATGGTTAAATATCTTATAAAAGCTTGGCCACATTAATACCAACATTTATAATGTGTTTTTTTTTAAAAAAAATCATCCCTCATTAGCAGTGAATTGTTGAAAGCATGGAAGCAAACATGTTCCATGTAATTGAACATGATGTCTTATTTGAATGAATATACCATGTTTAGAATTCTAATTTTTTGTTTCCTCCGTTAATGTCATCTTTTTTTTCAAAAACCCATTAGTGACAAATCTTTAATTGCCTAATTGTCTTTAAAAGACAGGATTGCTGCCATTTCCAGACTGCTGACATTTCCTTCTTGCTTCAGAGAGAAATTGGAAGGAAAGCATGGTCAGTACAGAACAAAGATTTTCATTAGCTGTGTCCATGATTCAGGGATTGATCTGCCCCTCAGTTCAATCCCTCTTCTGCAAAACTCTTGTCTGTGAATTGTGAACTACAGCTTTGAGCATGGCCACAGGAAGAAGTTCCAAGTGGTAAGTAATGAGGAGGACCCTCTCTCTTGGCCAGAGTTGATGGTAATAAAGTTCAGCAACATTGTGAAATCCATACATTTTCCACCTCATAATTTTAGATAATGTTGGAAATGAAATGTAAAGTTTTTTCAACATTAGCTTCATTACAATCTGTGCTGAAGTCATGCACATTTCATACATTTTCAGTGCTTTAATGTTACAAGGTCAGCATTTTCACTCAGTAATAGCAAGTACCCCCGGCATTTGGGATATTGTTAATGTAGTGCTTTGGCAGCAGCTATGAGTATCCTGTTAATAACATTGCAGTCCTTGAAATGAATGGTATGATACAAAAAGCTTAAATTATAGTTGCTCAAGATAAGCACTTGAGATCATCATCTTACCAGAAGATATATGTACATTCATATTTTTCAAGGAAGTGCTCTTGCCTTGCAATTCATCTATCTCTCACTGAGAACTGAAGAAGGACCAGTTCTATGAAGCTGAAGAACTCTAGCCAGATCTGCTGCCTATTTTCCTTGTGCATTGTTCCACAGATATTTCATAAGTGTATGACCCAATGTGGAGGTGGTGGAGAAGGGTTTACCTGGTTAAACTACAAAGAGATATAAATACTTACTCAAATTTATCCTGGTAGAAGTTTCAGTGAGATGTAGAGCTTGTGGTTGTATGTTATAAGGTGGATCTATATTGATCTGTCACCCTGAAACCAATCCAGTGTGGCCTATGATGGATCAACTCTGAGATGATTCACTCAGCCACATATCCCTGGCCACTGCAGAAACAGACAGGAATCCTGACTGCCCTGTAGCACTGAAACCCAGTTCCTCTTCACTTCTTTGTGTATACTTCAACCCACACTTCAGTCTCCAGTGCAATGTGGACTTTGCTGGTTGCTTTGCGGCTAGGCATAATTTTGGCCTGTTTTACCTGTTTATTTTTCTTAACCCATGCTGCATCTAGGGTGCTATGACAGTTACTTAGAGTGGTGCAATTAAATAGGTGATAACTTGGCAGGTAGTTGGGGCATAAAAATTACAGGGAACACCTTGGTGCACTTTTGGTAAAAGGGAGAGCTCTAGAAATGCTACCTTTGATCCTGAGACCTAGGGTGGGGAAAACACTGCCCTCAGTTAAGTCCTGTGAGTTGGGAATGGAGTTCCATGGATTTGCTTTGTAGTAAATGGCCAGACAGGGAGCAACCTAAATACTGGGTTGCTTTTGGTCCACTCAGAGGAAAGATGAGGAGAAATTCTAGCTTCAGGAGATCTTGCAAGAAAATGACCCCCCTCTTCCACATTTCCAGGATGAAATAGGTTCTAAGACAAATAAAGTGACTCTTTTCAACCCAATTTTCTGTTTCTGGTCTTATAATGCCATGGTTGGTCTGCGGTACAAATGTCAGAAAGAAGTACACATCATGGCCTGAGTGCCATGGGGCTAACATATTATAAAGAAATAAAAGTATTGGTATTTTATCTGAAGGAGCTCCCGGTTGTGCAATGAGTTAAACCATTATGCTGGCAGGACCGAATACCAGCTTGTCAGAGGTTCAAATCCCTCTGTCAGCTCTTTCTCCCCATTTGGGAACATGAGATAAGCCTCCCACAAGGATGGTAAAACATCATAACAACTAGGCATCCCCTGGGCAATGTCCTTGCAGACAGCCAATTCTCTTACACCAGAAGTGACTTGCAGTTTCTCAAGTTTCTCCTGACATGAAAAAAAATCTCATCTGAACCTCTGTTATCACAGCTCATTCATGTTGGGTTTTCTTTGGATACAATAACTATCCAAAGTGTGTCTTACTGAAGCATGCCTTTAACAAAAAATTACAATGCATTGGATCCAGATTTTGGAATTTATTGCATGAATCTGCTATCCCACTGTTGTATTATCATTGGTAGTTGCTACAAACTGGGCTGAGTATCTTCAATATCTCACCTTTCTCCAATCACATAATTGCATTCAATTACCAATCTGTGTTTCCTGTGGCTATGCTGTTTTCTTAACCCTATCTTCCCACACTACCATTGTTCTAGATTTTTAATTTTTAAAATTGTTTAGAGACATTTCACAATTCCAGCTTTTAAAAAACAAAAGGCAAATATAGCTATGAAATAAATCGATAGCTTTGGAATACTGAGTGGAAGGGGCAATGGGAAAGGAGACCATCTCTATGAAGGCACTTTATTATTGACATGCAAGCAGAGTAGCAGAACGGGCTCATCACACCAGGGTAAATGATGTGAATGTTGTGGGACTGAAAGCTACTGACAGGTTTTACACATCAACAGCAAGAGACAGGGTAATTATGGGGAACAGGAAGACCAGTAACAGGATGCACACAACATCATGAGATAGTGACCGCCACCAAAAATAATAGTCAGATGCAAGCCATTTTGTCTCCCTCATATGATGAAGTCCACAATCAGAACAGATCTCCTGTAATCATGATGAAATCCCTTTGATTTCAGTAACTGAAATATGACTAAGTGTTTACAACATAACATATAGACAGTGTTGTGTTGTTGACTAACACGCCACATGCACTGAGTAGATTGGATATTAATCTATTAAGAAATACTAATTTATTTATGAAAAAATACAAAAATATAAATATACAGATATAAAAATATCATGAATCAACACACAGATATTGTTTTACTCAATAAATATGGCAGTAATACTCATTCTTGTTTGTAAAGTGTATTCAGATTACATTATAAGATGGGTACATTATAAGATTGTTCCAAATGGGTAGTAGTAAAAGTGAAGCAAAGTATTCCTTTAGAAAAAGGTAAACTTTTTCAACTCATCACAAAAGGCACAAAAAGCCTTTTTAGGTGTCTTTCTCATAAGTGTTGAATATCGTCTTTCCAACATCTTAGGCAGAGGGTGAATCATAGTTTTTTTTTCTCTTTTTTAAAAAAGGTCTTTATCATTTTCATTCATGTTGATATATTCAGCAACCCTTACTAAGACAAACACCTATATATTTTTTGTATTTTTCCAAGTAAGAGAATGTAGGCCACTTTCAGCTAGTTACAGAGGCATTAATCCCATCAACAATGCCCAAGTCACAAAATGATATTTTCGGGCCACAATCCAGTTTTCCACTCTCCCCGTCGTAAACATGGAGCTCCTTTTAGGCAGAACTGCCCTTTCATTCTCTCTAAAGTTTACAGGAATGATCCACAAATGTATTGGTGGTATCGGCACATCTTTCAGTAGAAGGTGGCAGGTATTGTTCATAGAAGAGAACACTTTATCTGCAGTGGAATTACTAGACTGTGGTATTAGTCACTCTCATCTCCACCATACATATCTGCTAATTTTTTAAATCGAGGCCCCCAGTCACTGAGGTAATCATAATCTTGAGTGCTGCCATCTGTAGTAAGTGATTCCAAAGAACTAAGTGAATTTGCTATGGAATCATTCCCTTCATATGCGTAGGTTGCTAAAGAATCATAAGGAGGTGCAGTTGGATCCAAATCATTTTCCTTTAGCCTTCGATGAATGAAATCTTGGACATCAATATTTTCCCAGAGAGGTGCTGTTCTCCTTATCTGGAAAATAGTTTCTGGCATTACATCTCTTCTCATTTTACTTTCTTCTCTGGCTTCTGGATTTCTTAGTGTGCCAATGTCAAAAGCTTGTGTATCTTCTTCCCCCCCTCCTTCATCATTATAGGTAACAATATTGTCTCGGACATCATCCTTGGAAATGATCAAGGGCTCTTTTTTCCTCTGTCGTTTCATGGCTGCAAACAGAACAACTAAAACTGGAAACAAATAGATATTTATTTGTTTTTGTTTTTTTTTTTTTTTAAAAAAAGGTAATTTGCTGATCAACATGAAAATACTTAAAACTTGCAAATAACCATCTAGACACTCATCTCAGTAATGAAGTTTAAAACATAACCTTGATTCTCTTATTGAAGTGAAAGGAATTTTGCAGAGAAAGCCAAGGCATTTGCCATCAGAATAACACAATAGAACTGATTTCTGGACATACAAGCACAATACATATCTGCTGCAAATGTCTCTGACCATTTAATACATGAAAGGATTTCAGACATTGATCCATGCAGTTCTTTAAACATCTTCTTATTCATTGAACATGTTCCCCAAGTCCTGTAGATGTAAGTCGGAAAGGACCTCCATTCAAATGCAAATGTAAATGTACTGAGTTTCTTCTACAGTTAATACCAGCTCCATATAAGAACTCCTATAACTGCACCTTACTTAAAAATAATTTTAAAAACCTATCTCCATAACTTATTATAGAGTTTGAAAAGAAACGCATTGTTTTATCCACTGCTTTCTTTTAAATGTAACACACCATCTATTTAATTTTACATTACAGTACAAATATCCTTATCTACAAGGACTCTGAGTGCATATCAGAACTGTAGATAATAATGAACCTTATTGAAATAAAGGCTTATTGGCCTATGGAAACTTTAAAGCCATGTTGAAGGGCTTAGGAAATGCTTAGAAAAATCATATTTTGTCAGATGTGGTTAAATGAAACCATTGGTCTTCTATTAGTATTGGTCTTGTGGATATAAGGGTTGTACTGTTGTGGGATTTTTCATAACTTTTTGATATTTAACATCTTAAGTTTGTGAAGAGACTGGAATAGAATGTGTATGTGTTAGTGGGAATGATAGCAAACTGCCTCTAAACTGCGTTGTAAAAGGCTTTCATGGCTGGAATTGCTGAGCTGCTGTGAGGTTTTTGTTTTTTGAGGGGTTTTTTGGCCTGTATGACCATGTTCCAGTAGCATTCTCTGGAATGCAGCATTGTCAGGCAGGATTTTTTTCACTCATTGTTTAATTAAAATTGCAACTACATTTGTACTCCTCTCCCTCCCAGTGATTTATTTGAGATAATTGCATTATTTATAATGTATTGCCTCCAAACTCTAGTACATAAATCTCTGTACACATAGGACTTTCTTCAGATGGGCAATGATCACACACTAACTCAAATTTGTATGGTCAGCAGATGTGTCATTGTGTAGTTAGTTGCAGCACTCTACATGCCAAATGGGGATAATTTATAATAGGAATTGTGTGTGTGTGTGTGTGTGTGTCGCAGGAGAAGCATATTCCTGAATCAAATACATGAAGGTGTCTAGTTTATTTACCTTCTATGCATGCAGAACAAGCTTTTAAAGAATCCGTGTTTTTCTTTTTTACCTTGCCCATGTAGAGAATAATGGATGAATTTCCTTTTTGCATTATCTACAAAGAGTGCACTTACTGACTCTTCAGCCTGTACAGTTAGTTCCCTTTAGCACTCTTCATCGTTGCAGTAAGCAGCGATACATCAAGTGTCATACTTAAAGACTGCCACTTAACAGATTGATCTTTAAAGAAGGTTCCATCGTATTAGGAGATGTGGCTTCTTTTGCTGTTCTCAGTATTTGGGGCCTTTTATGAACTTGTAAAATCTCTCCATGAATTTAATCACCCTATTAAGCTGCAGGAGGTGAGACAAATACACCATTTGTGCATGTGTGTGTGCCTCACTTCATCTACTACTATAAACATTTAGTGGTTTGTTATCACTGTTGTTAACCACGATTGCACTCCATTGCAAAAATAATGAGCTCTTAGGAAAAGGAGGAAGACACGTATCTAATTAATTTATTAATTGGATAGATGTGTGCTTTACTCTAATGAATTTGTTCTTATTTCTATTCTATTATTTAAATCTTCAAGACAGATCTGTCTCAGTTTTATCCCCCCCCCACACCCACAATTAAATAATTCTGTAACAATGACGTTTATATTTCTCCATTTTAAAATCTGGAAATGAACAACTGAAGCAAGTGTTAAAGTTTATAATTGCTATTTCATGAGATAGATATTCAGTAGTTCTCTGTCTTCTGACATATTTTTCTTAGTTATCTTGGAATTTATATTGACTAAGGAATTTTTTTACTGAATTCCTAACCAAACTGACCTGATCTACATCTTCTTGTCTGTTGTGTGGATTACCACTTAATGAACTACCAGATTTCTGGAATCAGTGAGATATTGTATATTTTCATATAGGAAAGGCAAAAAAATTGCACATAATTACACTATGTAACTTGATTTTTGGTCCTGTCATTTCTTAATTGGTTATCATAAAAACATGGAAACATTTATTAAACCGAAAAAGAAATGCTTTTACAGGACATCCTGCAACACATTTTGCTATAGTTTTCAATGAAAATTTCATAGTGTCTCAACCAATCCCACCTATTTTGTAACAGCCATAAAAACAAAGTTTCTGAAGTATAACAACTACTTTCAAAGTAAGTACTACTCAGTTCAACAGGAAATAATTCTTTCAAACCAGGAACAGATTTTTTTTCAAATTTTGTTACATAGTGTTATAGTCATAGTGAAGCAATAGTGGTGGAGATAAAATGCTGCCATCATTCATTGAGAGAGTTGGGAGGCCCCGCACCCTTCTGCATGAGGGGGGGAAACCAAACAGCTGTCCCACCTCTCTCAGAAGAGACTGCAGAGAACACTATCTTTGGGGAGAAAAACACTTCAGGGTTGAAAGAGGGAAGCCTCTGAGGCGAGTGAGGCCTTCTCTTACTCGGCAACAGCAGCCGGAGCCAGGAGGCTGTGGGGCCCAAGCCTTCTTCCCTGCAGAGGAACAGTGCTGCCTCTGTCCCTTCTGCCTCCTTCCTGCATTCCCTTGCCCTTGATGGACAGAAGAGGTAGGGAGGAGGAGGAGGGAAGGGTTCAGGCAGGTGGGAAGGCTGCTCTCCTTCCCTCCTACCTTCCTTTCCATTCCCTTCCTGGACTGGAGTTAAGGCAGGGGCCTTCTTCTCAGCGCAGCAGTAGCATTGCCTCTGCCCCTCCTTCCTCCTTCCCCGTGTTCCTCTTCCTTGGCAAGCAGAGGGAGGATGGTGCTGCTGCCTGGGACAGGCAGAGGATGGAGGGCAGAGTACTTGTGGGTGTGAAGGCCACACTTCTTCCCTCCTCCCTTTCCCTTTCCCTTTCCATTTCCCCTTCCCTTCCCTTCCCGGCTGGAGTAAAGGTGGAGGCGGGAGGGGTATGATCTACACCAGACCGGGGAAAGCTTGGGCCCTCCAGGGGTTTTGGACTTCAACTCTCACAGTTCCTAATAACTTAAAGGCTGTTTGAAATTGTGGTAGTTGGAGACAAAAGCCCGCGAGGTCCCAAGTTTGCCCTGCCTGGTCTACACTGTGGAATTATTCCACAGCAAGAAGCCATGGCAGTTAAAGGGGCCCCATAGGGCATCTGACCCAACCACTTTTTGAAGTAAAAGAAGACACCCTCAAAGCCTTCCTGACAGCTGGCCACCCAGTTGGAAAGGAGCCCTAAAGGCCATCCAGTGCCACAAAATTTGACAGAAAATGAAGACACCATCAAAGCCCACCCAACAGATAGCCAAGCAGTAGGAAGAGAGCCCCAAAGACCATCCAGCCCTAAACCCTTTGGCTGTGTGTCTGTCTGCCTAGCCATATACCATGCCATCTATCTATCATCTATCTATCTATCTATCTATCTATCTATCTATCTATCTATCTATCTGTCTATCTACGTTCTGTCCTATTTATTTATTTATTTATTTGCTTTATTTTTATACCGCATTTTTCAGCCTAAATCGGCGACTCAATGCGGTTTACCTACCTTCTGTTCCATCTATCAATGTCCCTTCCATCTGTCCCTTCCGTCTATTGCTTCATGTCTGGAATTTCTCTGTTTTCTGAGGGCCACAGCAATGCGTGAAAATGAGAAAAAGGGGAAGGGAAAGAAGAAGTGAAAGAAAAAGGGGGGAAAGGAAGATGAGAAAGAAAAAGAGGAAGGGAAAGAAGAAGTGAAAGAAAAGGGGGAAAGGAAGGTGAGAAAGAAAGGAGAGAAAGAAGGAGGGAAGGTTGGCCACAGCAACTCGTGGCGGGTACAGCTAGTGGTCATATATAACAATGAACCCAAAAACTTTCTAAATGTGGCAATCTTGCTGCTTCTTTTGTCTGCCAAAAAGAGAGAGCTTTTGTCTATTCTAACAACTTCGTCCACTGAACTAATGGTTTTTAGCTGCCTTAAATTACATATTAGAAGAAAGCTGGAATATAAATCAGTAAATATTGGTGGGTCACAAGTTGCACAGACCTGGATAATGGGATGCTGAGAAGATAGATCCCAATGTGAAGTATTCACCTTCAGGATATTTCAGTTGTTTTTAGTGATATAGCAAAACATAGGAAAAGTGTCACCTACCTAGCAAAATAATGATGCAGAGAAGGATAGCAATGAGTGCTCCTGTGCTTAGGCCTGCAGGAAGAAGCAAAGCTTCAGCATTACAGGACTGCATGTTCCCTCGGCTATCACAAGCGCACACTCTGATAGTTAGTGTCCCAGTGCTACTTTGGATGGGGTAGTCATTATCAAATATTATCACTGGCAGGAGATAGGTGCTCATTTTGCTGCGGCTATATCCATTCCTTCTTGTTATGATGCCAGCTGTGTTATCTGAACAAGAAAAAAAGAAGCAGGAGATATCAAAAATCCCATTAATAAGTTTGAGGGGAAGAGATGAAAACAGAATAGATAAAAGCAATAAGAAAAGCCTACCTTTGTTGTCCACAACAGAGAAGTTTGGATGGACTGTGTATTCTGGCACCAGCTCAAAAAAGAATTTGTGCCCCCGAGGTGGCTCATCTTTGTCCACTGCGCTAATGGTTTGTATAAGCTGCCAGGAAATAATGGTACATGTTTGTCAGAAAAATGAAATCACCATTTGATCTTCTGATCTAATAGTATCTGCTTTGTGGAATTACCAGGTAAAAAGATCTTTTTTACTATTGTTGGATGGAGTTAATATAAGGGAAAATAATTAATGCACCCATGAGCAGCTATAAGGGAATATTCTTGAGAATTGATCCATGGTTCTCTATCATTATAAGTTCCAAAAACTGTTCAAGAAAACTGAGAATTTAATCTACATTCCACAGTACATATTGAGAAGCAGCCCTGAAATTAAGCTTGCCTATCATGAATAAACCTCCTTAGCAATACATGAGAAATATTGATGTGCCCTGTGCAGAGATAGGAACAACCATATATACTTGCAAAAAAGACAACCTCATGTATAAATAGAGAGCAGGTTTGGGGGTCAATATTATAAATTTATAATATGTAAAGTGGTGAATGATGGGAAATTAATCTATCCCAGAAGAACCAATCTCTTCTACCCTCTTAGTGCTTCTTTGAAGGGAAACACCAACTACCACCACACTCCATTTTTATGCCCCAATATTTATAATTCTAGAAGGGAAAGGGTTTTGTTCTCCCAGCATTTGATCCAGATTATCTTCTTTGCAATTAGTTAGTCCTCCTATTTTCCATACCAAAGAGTTTGAGTTCTCCAGATGTTATTATGCCAGCTCCCAGGTTCGGTCATAATTGGCCTTAGTGATGGAAATTTCTGGAAGCTGAGGTATAGAACTGGAGTATCAGAGGTTGAGAACTCCCGGTATAGTGGTTCCTCATCTTTCCAGGAAACTGAATTTGGAGGCATTTTATACTGCAACTTCAAATAAGAGTCATTTGGAAATCCCATACTTATGAGGGATGGAGAAAAGGAATACAATAGAAAGATTCATGGGACAGCACAGTAGATGGGAAATACGGTTTTGAAAAACTGGCACACTTATTTTCCTCTCTTTCATGCTCAAAGAAAGGAAGAGAAAGAATTCAATAATTGGTATATTTTTGCTTCATACTGGCAAGACTTTTAGGGAAGAAATTGAATTCAAATAGGAATTTAAAATAAACTTAACATCTCCCCCTATTCTAATGCAATTGAATTAGATTTTTAAAGTTCATTAGCTTTTGAATAATTATATTAACACTTCTTACAAACTTTTCCTTCTCTGGATCTATGATGCAGTCTGAGTTCCATGTGAAGCAATGAAAAGGCCTTACAAACCTGACTAGTATGCTGTGTGAACTGTCGGTATCCTAGAAAGCTGTTCAGAATGCTTTACAGCATGTGAAATTTTCACAGGAAAAAAAATCAATCCAAAAAGAGTTATTCAAAGGCCAAAACCTTGAAAAAAACCAATTCCTCTGAGGAAGGAGAAGATTCCAGTCCTCTGAATCTGCAGAGTTAAGAAGGGGGATTGTTTCCTATGAACCTTTTCATCTATTTGTCATTTCAGAATGCCAAAATGATTTTGGCTCACAAATGTTAAAGTATAATTCTGTAGGATAGGCTACATATATTTCATGGATACTATGAACTGATAAAAAATAAATGAATGGTCTGTAGATCAAATCAAGCTTGAACTTTTATTAGAAGTGAATATGACTAAACTAATGTGTAACTTATTGGAAAAGATGTTAAAATAAGCGATGGGGAGAAAGATGGTAAAGTGGAAGGCAGTAGGAAAAGACTATGGATGGATTGATTCCATAAAGGAAGTCACAGCTCTAAGGGCCATCCAGATATGGCAGAAGGAAGCATGTTAAAATAACCCACTTCCTCCTTGTTTCTGTTCTCACTCCCAACCCAACCCCTAAAGAACTAAAGAACTAAATAAGTGGATGTTCCACTGTGACTTCAACTAGATAGTTCCCCAAATAATTCTGGCTCCAAATTTAATCCATAATCAGATTTTACACATTACCATTGTCCCCTTTAGAGACATAATGCTCTCCTTATATTACCCCCCCCCCCCCCCCCCGTCCAAATCCTGTTTATTTTCCTTTAGCACTTTATCCATCAATCCTATCCTTTGGCAAGTAATTTGCACCAGTTGCCCGCCTGAATAAAGTATAGTGCACTATTTAGACCATTGGAGGTTGCTGGATTTTCGCTACATATTTGTATTCTGTGGTTGTTTTATATGTTGAAATGATTTATGAATTTTGTTGTTGTATTTTAACCATGTTGAATGTCAGGCCTGGCCCCATGTGAGGTTCCCTGAGTCCCTTCGGGGAGATGGAGGCAGGGTACAAAAATAAAGTTGTTGTTATTATTATTATTATTATTATTATTATTATTATTATTATTACCCCTGGATTTCCCTTGAGGGGTGGCTAGATGCTATCTCAGGTCTACCAAAGGTTGTAGCCCCTATGGACATGCTGCTTCCAATTGGCACATCATGACAGACGAGATAAGAAAAAAAAATCCCAATTTCTAATTTATCGGAAACAACCAGATGTTTGTGGTCACTGCCTTAGCCTCTCATTTGTTCCTTGGCTTGTTGCAGCCTTAATCCACATCCTGACTTGGTTTAAATGGCTGTGCAAAACTGCCCTAAGTCTACATTCCTAAGCATGTTTACTTAGGGATTAGCCATCTCAAATCCTGTGGATCTTACTTCCTTTGAGATAGATGTGGGTAACCAAAGTGGGTCCAGGAGAAAAAAATCTCTACCTGGACAAAATACTCCAGGGATTCAAAAAATGTCGTTTGCACATTACCACCAAACCAGAAAAACCTGAAAATTCATTCCTGGATCTGAGGAAAATTATAGGTATTAAACAGTGCTGGAGTCCCTGCAATCATTAATACTCCTAGAAACTTCAAAGGAAGGTTATTCACCAATTTATGGTTGAAAAAAATCCAATATGATGGGATCTATAGTCATGAAAGCAGAGTACAACTTTCTGCCCCAAAACCATTCCCAATTACTTTCTTAGCTTTCCTGTGGCTGCTTTCTGAAAAAAAAATGTACCATGTAATTAACACAAGTCATTGACATTTGGAATGGGTGGATGTTTTCTTCAATTTTCTCTTCAACTTGTTGCCTTCTTGTGGTTTGCCATGGCTTCCTCTGCCCCCCCCCCAATTCCTCCAGTCCCTCAGTCCCCCCGCCACTGCTAAAGAAAATAAATTATAGCTGTACTCATCTTTTGATCAATAACACTTGAAACCCACACCTTTGTTCCTCATCCACTTAACTTTCTTTACGTTGCACATCCATGTCTGCCCCTTTCCACTTGAAAATCAACTTTCTGCTGCAGCAAAAACATTAAAACTCAAATACATATGGCATCTGTGTATGTTCCTTTAGTCTTTTTTTAAAATTTGCATTTTATAAGTGTACAAAACAGTGTCTTGATCCTTGCTTCAACAGCAGCACTCAAGGCCCTGAATGATTTTCAATGTCCTGTTTCATAGGACATTGACCTTCTGAAATCTCCAGCCACTTCAAATGGCTCACATTACAATTACAGCTGCTACAAATGCACTATCCACAGTGTCAAGTAGATTTTGAATCTCTGTTTAAGTCACAAGGATGAAGCAGAATGCACAGCTTGAGCTGAAAATACCCTGTGTGGCACTAACAAAAATGATATTGGAAGAACTGTGTGTGTTTTAAGAAACAAACTAGAGATTTTGTCTTTTGCTGAAAAGATGCTAATATGAATTTCAGAAATTATCCATTGGGAAGTGTCAGAAAAATCCTAAAAGGCAAGCACACACTGAAATATGTAGAAAACTAAGTGTTCAAATTGTTTGTGTTTTTGATTGTCTATCTAATCATCCCATTTGTAGTATGCAAATCAAATTAGAAGCTAGGTTGTGAACATGCTATATTTTTAATGCTTATAGTCACTAGAAGGGCCACAGTGGCATAGCGGGTTAAACTGCTGAGCTGCTGAACTTGCTGATCGAAAGGTTGGTGGTTCGAATCCTGGGAGAGAGTTAGCTCCCGCTGTTAGGCTCAGCTTCTGCCAACTTAGCAGTTCAAAAACATGCAAATGTGAGTAGATAATAGGTACCACTTCTGTGGGAAAGTAACGGTGCTCCATGCTGGCCACATGACCTTGGAGGTGTCTAAGGACAACACCAGCTCTTTGGTTTAGAAATGGAGATGAGCACCATCCCCCAGAGTCAGACATGACTAGACTTAATGTCAAGGGGAAACCTTTACCTTTACTATGTCACTAGACTCTATTTTCTCCTTTAGCTCCACCCTTTCCAAAAGTATTTGCTTCCATAGAGAAGAGCAAAGAAAAGAAAAGAAAAGCATCAACACTTTCATGTGGTTTGTTTTATAGTCACAAAGGAGAAAATCATACCTCAAGAGCTTATTTCCAGCTGAAAAAGATATTTTTACTTATTTTGACTGATTTTATATGAGGTGTTTTTGTGGAGATGGGTTGTCATATGTTTTCCCACTTCTATTACATATATAAAAATATGGAAAATATATGCTACCCATAGTTTCAACAGGAAAGAATGCGATATAAATGCAAATCATTACAACAGTAATAACAACCTTTACACAGCAGGGATGCAAATCTTTTTCTATTTTGTCCTCACATGTGTGGGGTGTTGTGTGTGTGTGTGGGGGGGATTTGTGTTTTCCATGGAGGTAAGATAATGATAATTTTGCACATTTCCATTGTTTTTATAACTTACTTTGCTTTAAAAATGAAGGTATTTCCCTCAGAAGTATCAGGATTAGAGTATTGGGGTAGTTCTTACACTATACATCAATGTATAGGTATAGATAGAGATTTCTAAAAGGAGGATAAATAAATAAACTTTATTTATATCCCACCCTTTCTCCACAAGGGGACTCATGGTGAACACTTTTACACCTATTTGATGAAAGGTAGATCTTTGGAATTGTCTCTGCATGTCACCTTATCATTGGAGTGAAAAGCGGCCTTGATGTTGGCCTAAAAAAAATCACCCTTCATAAAATCATCTTAATGGTTTGTCTCTCC